AATCTGATGACTAATGAGGTTAGATGTCGACTGGATGGTACTCGACTGATTTCTGCCAGCGGTTCATCGTCGTAGGTGAATGTAGGTATAAGTTCCTGTCAATTTTGTGAATATACTTGAGACTTTTTCGTCGCAGAGCACTTACTATAGTAACTAATCACTGATTAATTACGATTAGCATAACCGTTCTGTTGTGACATAGTGATACAACGTTATCCACTTACTCAATGTTGGGAGATATCTCTCTTGGTAGCGAATCTACACCACCACCAATCTTTTTCATAGGCGTAGATAGTGTAGACAAGAATAACATAGACCATTCATCAAATATATGAAGTTACCATAATACCACTATGGGAAGTAAACTGTGTTCGAAATATAATGTAACCCAGGTAATAATACTGTTTCATTGTGTGATACCTCTGATCAACAAACTAAAATAGAATTTCATTCTACCATGGTGTCCAACTTTGTTATTTGAGTTTTTATTATCTGATATTTTGATTCTTCTACATTCTGGAACGACCTTAAAGGCTACCCTAGCAACTTATGAAACAACCAATCACGTCTCTCTATTCTGTGAAAAATTCTCCCGGATAAAATACCGCAACCTGATTGGTTATTTCGGTGGTTGTTAGAGTGGCCTTTAAAGTCACCCACATCATGTTGGTCTTTTGAAGGGTTTCTCATTTATTTTACTATGCGTAAAACTACTGTTCTCAATGACTAGACCGAACTTTACTCTTTCTGGCTGTGCAGTATTGTAGTTATTAATTCACTCTTAACCCTACTAATGGATACGCTGTTCAGAGAGGTATCTAGTTTCATACCAGCAGCAGCCTTAACTTATTATGTAGATACTTTAACTTCCTTTTCGTCTGTCTTCGCAGAGGTTAGAAAGCCAGTTTTTTCGAAATCATGTTTTTCAGGCTAACTACAAAAATCTTCGCCATACATCCAATTGTGTTAATTGGTAGGTCTGTTAATTTCAAGGTAGCTTTCTTGACAGATTGACATCAGTTGAAGAAGCATTGAAAGCCTGAGAACACTGGGCGGGTGTTTCTTTTTAGTTCGAAAATCCTCAGCAGTGTGCCACCCACAATCCTAAGAGGGGTTGGACCCGGATCCCTACAAACTATCAACTGAATAACCTTGGTTGCAAAATAGGTGTCAGTCAATGGAAGGTATCTCTTATAAACCTGTGTACGCAATAATTCATCTCATTTTTACTAAACCACATTACTTATCTTAGCTATGAGGCTTTACGTAATACGTTTATGCTATCTGATGTTATCATTGCCCAAAGTAACTTCAACTCTAAAGGTGCTGTTGTATTTTTTTTCCTTCTGAAAATTCACTGAAACTTACATTCATCGTTCTTTTCATTATCAGTGTGCCAATAACAGCTGTCTACCTGTTCTTATCTTGTTCACAACTTGTATAAAAGGTCAAATAGTTTTATTTTAAACACTGACTAAAAAGTATGCTCATGAAAAGCACACTGTCCAACTTAACATTCACCCTCTTTTAGAAGTCACTTTCGTCTCGCCTAATCAGCTGATAACTATGGTTGAGCCTCAGTATTTGCGTAAATAATTCTGTCATCTGACTGTCAGTCAAACTGATGAACTAATTTATTTGTAGGTGTTCATTTTTCGTTTACAAGATGAGATGATGTATCATTCCTAAATTTCTTGAACTATGGTTCACTTTATGATTGACTCTGTTACACTGTTGACACATCCATTTTTCTTTTAAGTTAGCGGGATTTATCCCTGCCGTTGGACATTTAGCAAACAGTTTCACTTTCTATTTGTGATTCAACTTTTACGTGTTAATTGAAAATCAATTATTAAGTTTTGGTGTAGACGTGCTCAACTTTCAGATGAATCTGATTCTCAAAGACATTGACTTTTATACTTCAGAAATCATTGTGAAAATCCCGAATGCCACCTCTAAAGTGATTATTGTCTGCGTAAACTTCTTTAAATGGCAGTTTTATACATATAACCGAAAATTTTCCACTTATTTGACAGGTTTGTTCATATTTTTTTGACATCTGTGCAAACTAAAGTTTTTATTTTTCTTCATAGCAACAGAGAACAGTGTTTTTGTTCATGTTTTGTGTAACCTTCAAAAACGTTAGATAGCTGTTTTATGTTTTTACGAATTTCTCGCTGAAAAAAAAAACAGGTTTATACTGCTAGTTGATTTGGTGTTTGCATGGTAGGTATTTTAGTGGCACATATTGCGCAAAAAGTTGAACTCACTACCACCAGTGGATTTTCATCGAAGTAAGTGGAATAAGTTTGAATCGTTGATAGCTAGTGGTTGAAAAAATTGAGCTTCTGAAGCACGCAGTTTCAATTCTTTTCTTTTTATCCATATGGTGTATAATAATTGGAATTCATCTTTCTTGTATATAGGTCGATATATACATGTGTGGAGTTATAGGTAATTGGTTTAAGGAGTTGACTTTCAATCAGTTGGTCGTTGGTTCAAACATCGCTGCATCTACCGAGGCTTGGGCAGCTATGTAATAATATCATTACCCCTCAAACAATAGGTGAATCTCATTGCTTAGTGCATGAAATATGCACAAGGTAGCTGAATGGGTTTCAGTTCCGGAATGGATATTTGCTGTTTTAATAGGTGTCTCCACAATTCATGAAGCAATCGATTAGGCAACAGTATTCGTGCTGTTGATAGTAATGGTTGTTATTTATTGCTTATGAGTTCATGGATTAGATCTAAGAAGTAGGCGCTTACATATCTTTGCTTAGTATAATGACAAAGAATAAACAAGAAAACTGTGAAACTGATGAAGCCTAACATGTTACTGTCATACTTCAGGAAAACCGTCACCATTTATACAAGAAAAAATACACTTTTGTAGGCTGTTGAACAACACTATCAAGGTTTTCTCAAGTATTCATTTCCAATACAATTAATATAGACCTTCATAAATACTGAACATTTGATTGAAAAAAAGAGAGAAAAATCCAAACAAATAAAATCTTCTTGTCCGTTGGAGCGTATTTTATGAAGGCTATCGAATATTATTCAAAAGAAGAATCGATCTTTGTGTCAGTAAAGTCAATGACTGTCTACTTCCTTATTTTAAAAAGTTTTTTTAATGGTGTTTAGTCTATGCCGATAAGTTTATGTTCACGACGGTGTGAAGTTAATCAGGATATATTGACATTGTGGTGTTGGCCTTCGTCAAAATATGATTTTTCATTTTCTTTTCACGTTGATTGTGTCTACCATATGACCTTTTTCTATTTCCATATGTCTATAAAATGTAGAATTCTCAAGGTATACTGCATTTTGGTGATGATTCCGTTTATTCTGTACAAATTTATTTTCATTCTTATAAAGTAATGCGGAAGAAACACTCCATTTTTATAATAAATCATTATCATTATTTATCCCTTGGGTTCCTAGTGGAACATAGGGCTTCACTAGCACGTCTCCATTCCACTCTCTTCTCTAAAATCTTTTAAACCTGGCTCCACGACAGCCCACAAGCTCTCATTTCTTCCTCACACCATCTCCTCTATGTCACCCTTGAATGCGAAACTCGTCGTTTCCCACTTGGGTTCCACTCGACGGCCTGGCCTGGTGCGTGATGTCCCCAGTTGGCCTTCTCAGTGTATGCCCAGTCCAATCCATCTCCACTTCCTTCCAATGCATATTTGTTGAGCGATAGGTTGTTGGTTGGTTCGTTGGCAGCCAGAGAGAATTCCTTGTTGCTTATTCTTTCTGGCAATGCATCTGAGCTTCAGAAACGAGCCAGCGTAGGTGGCATTTGTTGATGAATGTGTGTAGTTTGTTGAAAATGGTTTTCTTAACGCGCCAAGTTTCTGAACCATAAAGGAGCATTGACTTGACTGGATTGGTGTTGAAAATCCGGATGTTGTTCAGTCTTTATGTTGAGTGCAGAAGATCTCCACACTGGTTTCAGGTTAATGAACGCCTGTGTTGCTTTTCCGATCCTAGCTGACTTTGACGTCCTCATCTGTGCCTGTGCCGTCTGTAGTTGAAACAGTGCTGCCTGGATAGGTGAAGGAGGCTACTTCCTTTAAGTTTCTCTCGTGGAGCTTGTTGTTGTTGGTGGTGTTGGTTGGGTATCTTTTTAAAATAAAATAAGAGTAAAATTTGTTTTATACCGTTTTTTTCCTGGTTTCACTGATGAACAACCTTTCTGCTCCAGTGAGTTGTTTTGCTGAACAAATGAAACTGGCAATATATATCCCATCTCTCCCCACTTCAAGTAACCGTTTGCTTCATTCTTAAAAAGTCAGAAACGTCAACGTCGAAACGTTCGCATAAGTTAAAGTTGTACGAAAAATGGATGTATTCAAAGATATGCATCAATCTTTTTGCTATTTCATGTCACTGGAATCAATCGAAATTGAAAATGCCTGCCAACCACGTGTTTTTACGTCTGTATTATCAGGTTAATAATGCATAGCAACAAATGTATGAGGGCTAATTGAGGAGGTATGGACTGAGTGCTGAATATGTTTAACTATCTAATATATCAATTTATTCCCTAGTGAATAAGACGATAAACACTGAAGGTGTATTGTGTCTACTAACCGAAGGTCTCACTAATTTTGTATAGCCAAAGTGTCTAACTTTTGTTGTTTTTCGTAGCGTTTAAAGATGTGAACTTCCTTGGTAGCGTCAATCAGTGATTGAAGATTCAGTTACCTTTGAGCTTCTAAAGTTTGTGCTGGTAAGTTTGTCCAAAATGAAAAGCATCATAATTGAACTATCCAGTAGTTCAGAGAACATAATACTGGCATCTTTTCACCATTCCGTACTTAACTTATCCGTCGAATTTTAGTATCCAAATGAATGTGTATCAACGTTTTTAGATTGCCAGTTCTTAATTGAACAATGATTGTGTATGTGTATGTTTGAATAGTCTAACATGTTGTTACATACACTTCTTCTATGTACACTTTTATCCTGATATTTTCTTTTTTCAGATATTTCGAACTGAAATTAGCCAGCTTGCCTGTTTCGAATGAGAAGTTTCATCTGTATACCAGGTAACTTATTATTACTATTGTTAGCCTTTGCTTCTGTAATGTACGTAAATTATTTATAAGGTGATATTTATTTATACACTGATTCCATCCATTTACAGACTGCTAGAGGTCCTTTATTACTGATACAGAATAATAAAAGTGCTAAATAAGTTGGTTTTAGTACTGAACAACGAACACACAGTGTTTAGATTTGTCATGTATGTAGACAACAGCCATAAGAAAACGCAGTCTTCGTATCTCAAAGTATATGAATACTCTGTTATAGTTTTCTGCATTTTATCATTCACTACAAACCGATAAGAATCATATTAATGATTTTCTGTTGGCGCATCTACAGTATTATCATCTATGCTTTTGTTACCTAACGAGTTCTCGCTTCCAGGATGACATCGATTCACTTCAGCTAACAATATTTAATCACTTGTATAAGATGGAATATCAATAATGTCACATTCTTCAATCAACTTTTGATGCTGTACTTCCTATGATGTCATTTTAATCCCAAAATTACTACAATTCCATAACTGTGAAACATCTTTCGTCGTGCGACTTTCTCCCTTTTTTGCAACCTCATGGCTCATTCATTGAATTAAAATCCACTAGTTTTACTTATAAGTGAACTGTATTCAATACTGTATGGGTATACAGATATCTAAAAGTTTCACCTTTGATATGTGTTATATCTCAGAGACTGGCATGCAAGATCTTAGTAAGGTGCTTTGAATAATGTTTCCATCTGTTAGCTCAAAAAAGTACGATAATCATGTGTTTAATCAGGGTCACTGGCATCAACATCCAGCCTTGTTAGAGTAAGAAGTAACTATTCCCCGGCAGCCTGATGTTAGGTTTTAGTTGTTGTACTATTTCAGTGATCTCTATCACGTGCACCCGATAGATATTTTGGTGCTAGATTGGGAAGTAGATGCACAAGTCGAATACCAGGGATTTCCTTCTGCAGTTTTTACAGTGGTTATAACGTGTTTCTAGCCAGCGCCAACATTGTGCTACATGATTTTCTCATTCTGTCACTCGAATCTGAACGAAAACTGATGGTATTGTCATTATCGATGGAGTTGATATATTCGGGAATTTCTTTTATTCTGAAGCGACTTGTCTAGGATCTGATCACGCTTTATTGTGTGTAAAGTGCATCTAGCTTTTCATTGATTATCAAATCGTCATCGTAAATAGGTTGACATACGAAAATTGTTGTCTCCCAGTATATTGCAACTAAATACCAAATCGATCTAGATTCGAAGCTAGTTATCGAATCTTCGAAATGTATAGATAGACACTCACAAGACACCATGAAGTATGGTAAGTAAAGCTACTTTCTGTTTCACACAACTTCCCGCTGATAAACAATGGGGCTGTATGAATTCCTCACAAATTAGTGACACTTTACAACCTTGCGTTAATAGTTGACTAGCAAGGAAGTAGGCTGGATTGCGTTCAGATTACACATATACTGATCATTTATTTACCCTCTGTCAGACGCCCAGACATCGTCACACGTATTGAGGGCAACACGTGTTCTGTTTCTTGTTATTCGGGTTGTCTTTAATTTGTTGGACTGGGTTGCGTTTTTGAACGTCTTGAAGACCCTGAGTAAAACCTGGTTCGAATATCACCCCATCTGTTGAGGTTTATACAGTCAGGTAGTAAGTATAACTAACCAGCACACAGTATGTATGGCTCATTGCTTACTACACGAATGTCCATAGGGCAGCTGAGTCCATCCCATTTCATTTTATTTCAGGTTACTTAAATCTCACTTAGTCAGTTAGTGATCAGTGTTTCTAACAATATGCCAAAAAACTAAAGTGCATTTACAACATTTGCAAAAGCTCGTACCTGCGTTTACCCTTAAATGTTATCTAAAAGTTTGTATCTAAGTAATTATATGAGTGTACATGAAGGTGTGACTTATGGGATTTCTAACTGTATGTGAAATGTCATAGTGGTACCGACCAATCTTAACCACCTTTGGCACCACTTTCACATTAACGCAAACATAAAGGAAACCCTGGTATCTTGTAAAATGGTACCCTGATTTAAGATGCTCTGTGTTTTTTTTCATACTGTCAAGAAAACGGTTTTAAACATAGCTAGATTAAAATGTTGGGATAAGAAGCAAGTTGATCACCAAGTGGTAATGACAGTGATACTCCTGTTTTCGAAGTATAAACACAGATGAGGATTGAGTGTATTTGCTCGATTACAATCAGCTTTTTTCTTTCCACGTAAGATCTTGTGAATCATTTGTATATGGAGTCTAGGTCAGGTAATCATGGATGCCTAGCCTAATGGATAACACTCTGGTGTTTGAAGCTATGGGTGCCTGGGATGCGGAAACATCCAGCCGACGGGTCCTGAATAGGGTGAAATGCATGTCGTGGATTCCACTGCTAACCACCACCAAGTCATAACATGATTAAACTCAGGCAATATCCAGGCATCTGCATTGGAGCCCATATACCAACAGAGCTCGACCAATTCAATCTGGTATAACGACAAGGAATTAAAACTATCGATGAACAGTTCATATATGCTATTGAAGGACATTGATAGTCTGTGACGGATTGTTTCGATTTGAGGAATAATTTCTATTGTTGCTTACTGACCCCAGTGGTCCAGTAGTAGAGCGTTACAGCTCATGATATGACGTTACTTCGCGCGTTAAGGAACCTAAAGTTAAAATTGAAGCAGACAGTTGTTCCATAGTTTTTCATAATTCTCTAAGCTATGTTAATTAATGGCTTAAAAGTTTTCATGAAAAGAATCATCACCGCTAAAACAGCTGATTTAAGTATTTACTATATTGATTGATTACTACAGGGTAACCAACCTCATGTTGTCTAGTCCTACGTGCTGATCGAATTGGAGTATGGTCACCAGACTAGGAAACTTCTCATCGCGATGTAATGAGATAAATGTTTGGTGGAGGCGGTCAGTTGACGCGGATTCGAATCTCTGGCGGGACATCAGTTACGTCAAGGTTACAGACACGCCTTGCTGACGAGTGCCAAAAAGCATGAAACATATGCGAAGCAGGAATTCCTGCTGATTGTCCGTAAGTATGGTATGTGCTTTGCACCATTAAAGTGCGAAGTACCCTTGCAAGATAGGCAGAAGCCTGTGCCTGCTCTCACTCTTGGTAGTGAGCCGTTGGAAGTAGTCGAAAAGTTCATGTATCTGGGTAATTGTGTGAGTGCTGGTGGAGGTGTGAGTGATGAGATTTCTAACCGCATATCCAAATCCAGAGTGGCATACACCAGTTTGGGCTACTTCTGGGCCGTCGCAATGTTTGTCTGACCGTTAAAGGTCGGGTTTATAAGGCTTCGTCACGAGCAGCTCTGCTCTACGCATGTGATACCTGGTCTCTCCAAGCTGAGGATCTGCGACGACTGTATATGTTCGATCACCGTTATTTTCGTAGGATTGCTGGTATCCGGTAGCAGCATCACGTAAGTAATCCTGGGGTACGACAGCGTGTGTTTGGGCATAGTGGAGACGGCCATTCAACAAGTGAAGTCATCTGGAAACACCGGCTTCATTGACTTGGACATGTGTTATGCATGTCGTCCGAACGGCTTCCATACTGTTCATTGTTTGTTAATCCTGGGATTGAATGGAAGAAGCGGAGGGGCGGTCAGCGTATGACGTGACGCCGTGGGATGAAGGATAGTTGTATCGGGTTAGCACCTGTTGGCGCATCACAATTCCCTCCCCGGATAGGGGCCGAGAGATCACGTAACTCAGTGGCTTGAGACGTTATCAGATATGGCTCAGAATCGAAACCAGTGGGGGTCATGCCTTTGTCTCCTCCTATCTTCTGCTGCTGAAAAGTATTGAATGTTTCGTTTCGAATGTATCTTACTTGACTGCCCCTCTAATCTTCCTAATTTTATTGCGTTTTCCTCCTGACCCACTTCCCCTTCACTTTATATCTTAATAACGTTGTTATATTATTTTGTACGGCGCATTACTTGGTGCCCTAACTGTACCACGTTTGTGTTCTAATAATAATAATCATTATTATTATTATTATTATTAGTCCCTTGGGTTCCTAGTGGAACATAGGGCTTCAGTAGCACGTCTCCAGTGAACTCTGTTCTCTGAGATTTTTTGAACCTGGTTCCACGACAGCCCACAACCTCTCATTTCCTCCTCGCACGACCTCCTCCATGTCACCCTCGGACGTCCAACTCGTCGCTTCCCCTGGGGATTCCACTCGAGGGCCTGACGCGTGATGTCCTCAGTCGGCCTTCTCAGTGCATGGCCAATCCATCTCTACTTCCTCCTGCATATTTGTTGGGTGATAGGTTCTTGGTTGGTTCGTTCCCAGAGTTCCTTGTTGCTTATTCTTTCTGGCCATCTGATCTTCAGTGGCGAGCGTAAGCAGTTGTTGATGAATGTCTGTAGTTTATTGCTAATAATAATCATAGTAATAGTAATAAATAGTCTTGCTGATTGCCTTCATCCAACTAAAATCTATTTCAGTATTTACTAATTGAACGTGAAAACTGACAAACATTTGTATTGTATTTGATTTTCTAATAAAAATGTTTGTGTTCATAGTGTGAATTTGGATGTACTACACATACTACTAATAATAAATGTAACTCAGCAAAGACGCCCAGTTTCTCGCACTTCGGCTACAAATAATACTCATTATTTGAAAATTTATCCGTGTACCTAATTCACTTAGTCTCTACGACCGGAGTGAGGTTCTAAATTGTCAATGTTTCCTTTTCATATTTTTAATCATTTGTCATAAATACATTCACACTAATGATTATTCATTCTTGTGTTCTTCTAAATTATTTGTATTCAATTAACTGTGGATACCAAACCTGATACTGTCCCACTTTATGACTGATTATGTAGTTATACTTCACGCTTCATGAGTGATGGATAAACGAACGTATGGTTTAATACTCTTCATCTCGAGCAATATTCCTCTATGTTGATTTGTGTGTGTATGTGTGTCATTGTTG